GAGAGGATCACGTAGCCCTTCTCGCCAGAGTCCTTCATCTTCACGTAGGCAGAGATACGCATGCACCAAGCGCTCATCAGGCTCGGTAGAACCCCGAAAATCTCCAGCTTGGAGATATAGAACTGGGATACCTGGATGTACGCCTTACCTTCATAGACGTCCGGCTCGAGTCTGTCCCCAAGCATTTTTTGCATATCCTCGGGGTCCATCGGGAAGTGCACGCTGACCAAGGGCGTCTCTGTCTCACGCACGGTCATGCCAGAAGAAAGTGCCTCAGAGTTTGCAAGGGAATTCCGCGCCACACCGCCTTCAAGTGTGTCCACTGTGCGTACCCCCTGGACAACCAAACACTGGAGGAGCAGCGTGATGCAAAGCGAAAACCTGGAGCCCATCATGAAAGCAATGGATTTGGAAGATGCTGTGTGAAGCTGCACGAAGCTTAGGCTTGAGCCCAACCAGCTCGGTTGGCGAGGAAATTTCAGAAAACGTGAGACCCCACAGCGGATTTTGGGAAACGCAGGCAAGATGAGTGCTCTGAGACTCGAACTCGATAGCCTCACTCCGGGCACCGTGGAAGGCCCAACACCTGTGTTTAGACGGAATACTTGTCGGTTGAAAAGGCTCAGGATCTTCAGGGGCATGCATGGCCTGGGCTTTGCAAAGGACTGCCTCCGGAGGAGGAGGGACAGTGACGGCAACGGCATTGATGCTATTGCCGCTGCTGACGCTGCTGCTACCACTACCTCCATCAGTGGTACCATCTCCACTGCTACCAACTACTCCATCGCCAACGACGGCCACCGAGTACTAAATCCACGCTCCAGAACGGACTTGGGTGCCAACGACTAAATTGATGTTATTGAAATTCTAGAGTTTCGAAGCTCGAAAGACAACCGCCCGATGTTTTTGAGCTGAAAGCCAGAGAATGCCGAGTGAAGCTCTTGGCGCAGGGCGTGTGGGTGCCAGGCTCGAACTCAACCCCCTGGCATCAACGATGCAAGCTGGAATCAACCTCTTCTTAGCACTCCTGACAGTTGGTTGCCGGGGGAGACATGCGGTACCGGAAGCCGATGATGGTGATGATGATGAATGATGATGATGATGATGATGATAATGATGAGGATTATGATGATGTTGATGATGATGATGATGGTGACGACGACGATGATGATGACGAGGAGGATACAGAGGAGGAGGAGGAGGAGGAGGAGGAAAATGACGATGGCTGTCATGATCGTGCTGGACATGCTTACGTTGGTCTGGGTTTTCCGGCTATGATGAAAGCAACAAGTGTGCTAATGGCTGGTGCTGACTGCCCCGACGAAAACTACGATGATGATGGTGGTGGTGGTGTTGCTGCTGCTGCTGGGGCTGGGGCTGGCCACGACCACGACCACGAAGACGACCACGCCAACGACCACGACCACGACCACAAGAACAACCAAACCAAGACCGCGACTACGACGACGCGAACGACGAGTAGGAGATAGTAGGAGTACTGCATCGGCTCCTCTTGGCAAACATGTTCGAAGCTTTGCACCGGGCAAGGGCTCAGATTTTGCCGAAGAGACGACGAGGTCAGTGCAGCAAGCAGCAGTAAGGCATGCAGCTTGAGGATTGCAGTTGGGGAGGTGCCGCCTATTGCAGGGGTGAGTTGAGCTCTGCACCTGATCTTCCAAGTTCCTTCGAAGGGATTCGAAATACCTGAGCCGGCATCGGTCTGAAAACCGGCTTCGGTGAAGAGGTTGGGGCCCGAAGCAGGGCCATCAATCGAACATGGCAAGATCTAGCGTGGCGCATGCCGTTTTGCCAGACCTATCAGCTTTTCTGTCACATGCGACTCGGATGATGCCTGGCCCTGTAAGGAATAATAGCTGTAGTGCGGTGCTTACTGCTGTGCTGTGCACACTGCACCTGTGACTCGACGTGAGGCTAAATATGCTACTACACTGAGGCTAAGCGGGATACACTGTTCAATAACTCGGTGCATCCGGGCGGCGGCTTGGTGCATCCATCCAGCTGTGGGCCATTCTCTACGCGATGAATCGCGCGAACTTGCCTGCAGCTCTCGCCAAAACCGCAATAGACTGGGGAGTGCGAGAATTGCTGGGGCAGGCGAGGAGATTCTTTCGACTCTGTAGATTGCAAGCTTTTGGCCGTGCTGAGCTCTCGACACCTGATCCCAAGTCGCCTGGGCAGCTTACAACACCCGGTTCGGGATGAATCACGAAGGCTTCGCTTCTTGCTTCCAGGACGAATGCACCAACTGTCAGCTCTCTTGTCTTCTCAGATGCGTGTGAAGCCTCCCTGAAACCTCCTGACGAACACTAACTGCTGCGTGTGATCAGTGCTGTGCCTGCGGCGTCACAGAGTACACAGGCGGCTCCTGCAGCTGTGGAAACTGATGGCGACAACTGCCGTCTGAAGCCTTTCTCTTTAGAGTTCGAGAGTAAGATCTTGGAACCTACCACTGCCACAGCATATGACAGCCATTGTTCGTCATTGTCTCTACAAGTTGCTTGTCTTGCAAGAGCAACCTGCTGTGTCTGCCGGAAAAGAATAAAACACACAACTCCTAGCCCACGACAGATACGCCTGCAACGTGCGGGCCCCTGACTGCTTCCGTTTCCGTGGAGATGTCCCTGCCCCCCGGAGTTGGGGCCCGAAGCCCTTCAATTCCCTAAACCCTAAACCCTGCGGGTCCTTAGGAGTCGCCCGGAACATGGCCATGACGTGCGCAAACTCCTCGGTGCCAGGAAGCACCTGAAAAAGCAGCTCCCTCTGTCCACCCGAAGGATGCTTGCCAATGCTTCCTTCAGATACGAGGGCATCATAGATACATACATGTGCACACACACACACACGCAAGCACATAATCTGTGTGTATATATATATAAGTTCAAAATTAAAGAACTATGTCTGGGACAAGCCTCTATCAGCTTCTCTTCGTCCATGCCGCGCGTCGCCTCGCTTTCATCGAGGGTGAAAAATGACTAGAGGAGCCTCAAAAGGCCGACGCAAAAAGAAGCCCCGCTGCCATAGCTGTCTGTATCCGACCCCTCTGACCTTCCCATCCTCCCTCTTCCTGGTTGGCCCTGCCTTGCTGTAGGGAGCTTGGCTTCTTCGGTTCGATCAGGGTTTGAGCTGAAAAGGGATCAGCTGGGCTTGGGGGAGTCTGAGGAGCTCGCCCATCTCTTGCGGAGCAGCTCCGGGCTATGTCCTGGATCGGCCATGCCACAAACAGTCCGAGAGGAAGTATCCACTACATACGTACCTTACATGTCTGTCGCTGTACTCTATTACATAGAACAAGGTGATTTTACATCTTCTTGAAAGCACCTGTGTCTACATGTGTACACATATGAGAATGCTGAGGCATATGTATGTAAAGGAACTTCAGATACCTATGGCTGTACATGTATGACAGCTTTTTACAAGGGTAGCTAGCTAGATAGATACATAAATAGATAGACAGATGGTAAACAGATAGAAAGACAGATACATAGACAGATAGATAGAGGGACAGATAGATAGATAGACAGAGAGAGATGGATGGCTAGCCAGCTAAGTACGTAGGTAGGTAGATAGGCAACATAAGCGTTAACTCAGGTATATGCATACCGCATACCGCATACCTGATCACACAATCCATGATACATGCTAGATACCCACATACTTGCGGACACAAACAGGGAGGCATGTATGAACATCTGGACAATATCAGCTACGCAGATGCAGAAGCCTTAAACCCTGTGGACGACCCTGGGCCCCGGGCCCAGCCACTGTTCCGCCTGCTGGCGTTCATCCGAGAGCCGCTCCCGCCAGGAGCGAAGCATGTGCGCCTCTGCCCATGTTGCAGGATGCTGAAGCTGATGATGAGTGTGATGATCATGATGGTAATGGTGATGATCATGATGGTGATGGTGATGATCATGATGGTGATGATGATGATCAACATCACAATCATCCACATCATCACCATCATCATCATGATCGCGGAGGCGGCGGCGCCGGTGGTGGTGCTGGTGATGGCGGTGGTGGTGCTGCTGCTGGTGGTGGTGGTGCCGAAACCGATGATGATCATCCTGGTGGCCACTAGTGCTCTTGACTTGTAGCCATCTCATTTTACACTCATTGCGAAGATGCACACTGCTGCCACAAATCATTATTCCTAAGTGTTTGGTGATCCGCACTTGTGACATTGGTACTGGCGAAAGCCCTCACCGTTCTAGCCATGACATGCATAGTTGTTCATCTACTACGATTCCCGTGAGTAAAGACCGCAATGTTTACACGGGAGGAGTATTAACAAGGCTGGATGGGCTTGATGTTTAGGCCATTGAAGTTCAAGCTGTAAGCTGTAGTCAAGTTCTTCTACTTGCACTGGACCGTGCAACACCTTGCTCCGACTCCGATGAGGCATGCCGTCTATCGCCAGAAAGTGTAGAAGGTGAATTGTCCCGAAGCCCCAAACTCAATAATTAGAAGCAATGTGCTCTATGTAGCCCAAGTTCACTCGTATCGACTCTCGGAACGAACCGTAAAGAGAAGCGTACCCAAGCACAACCGACTGACGCCTTCACCTCTGCTCCAAACACTAAACGCTAAACCCCAAGCCCTAAACCCCAGACCCTACTCCTAAACCTAAACCCTGCCCTCTAGCCAAAAAACCCTACACCCAGGACCCGAAACCGTGAAGTCGACGTTATTTACAGGCACAGCGCCTCTGGTCCGTCGGCGCACAAGGTGGCATCGATCAGACGAGGAAGACAGTCTCGGAAAAGCAGGGACCTCGTGGGTTGGGTTTGTTGCAGGGGCCATTCAAACTCTAGTTTTTACAGGGAAGAGTTGCACATACGGACTTTCAGGGATACTGTCTTTCGTTCTTCGTACCTCTACATGAGGGCTGCAACGGATCCGAACTGAGAATAGACCCGTTTCAGATTTCGGGGTTAGGGGTTCCGGAACTCGACGTTGACGGTCAGCAGTCATCACCATCATCATCAGCATCACCACCATCTTATTTTCTTCTTCGTCTTCACGATTATCATCATTGTCATGATCATCATCATAGTCAACACCTCTCTTCTTCGATTTTAATGTTTGGAAAAACGGGCGATTTCCAGTGTCACTGCAGTGGCAACTGCAACAGTCAAAGTCATTGCTTCTCGGTCGCCAGCTCCATGTTGTGGCGGTCACCGATACGCGTACGCTGTCCAGAGGCCATAGGTCCGCTGTTGGCGACATAGTACCTCGCACAATGCTCCAAAGCCTTCGGGGTTTTGGTGCTCTTTTAGGCCTACTTAGGGCCTAGCCCCAGCAGGCTTGATGCTTCCAGGGTCTCAAGGAGTAGAGTATCCAGTGCAGGTAGCTCCCCACCCGAGGCTCCGGCAGGAAGCACTTGTTGTCCGTACCCGTGGAGATCAGCCGCTCGAGATCGGCTCGCGAAGTCGGGTAGACCTGCAGAACGAACCGGTTTAAGAGCCCAAAGAGGAACAGAAAAAATCGACAGGCTGAGTTTAGGGCATGCTGCGGCACACTTCAGGGGTAAACAGATGTAGAAAGCTATCGTATACTGACTCTTCAGCAATATCTCCAGTAAGGACGCATGGGGCATCAGGTTCATGATTTCGGCCAAGAGATCCTCATGGCGCCTCATCATTTCCTCCCTGCGCGAGCACGACTGGCAGTCCCTGCGCTGCAGGCACAGGCTCAACCTCTACACCGCTGTAGGCTTGCAGGCAGAAGGCTGTTTTGCGGTTTTGCGCAACCCCCCCCCCCCGCCGCGCTCCCTGGCCCATCATGAAACCCAAAGCCCTGAAACCCCGAAATATCCCGAAATCGTATCAGCCCGAGCTGTCCGCAGCTATCCCAAACCCTGAACCCCCGTCCTGCGGCAACTCTTTGCACGACGGGTGGGCATTGATCAAGAGACTGGGACCACGCCAGAGGCCCGTCTGGCATCCCGGCTGATCTTTGTGAGGAGGGCTTGCCGGCTTCAGAATTTAAAAGCTTAGGGTTTGCAGGGCTTTCGTGTTCTGGTTTCGAATTTAGGCTGCACACACTCGATGGCAGTTGATGAGTAGGAAGCCCCTCAACCCCAAGACACTACGGCCTGAAGCCCAAACGAGACGGTCCCGACATGCCACGACTCCGAACCCGAATCGTGCCAGGCAGAAACCTGCCACAGGCCGATGAGGTAGACACCTATCCGGAGGCATTTCAAGGCTCAGTTCCTGTTCCAGTGGAGGGTGTCGAGGTTTACAGTGAAGGGGCAAAGGTGCAGCGTTCGCACGGGCGCTGGGACGTGGAAGCTTGTTTCCTAGTTCAGGCCGGGCCGCAGTAGATATTCAAGGGTCCTACACGGTTGTCAGTTTCGTGGAACTTTCTCAGTTACCCTGGGGTCTTTCGGGAGTCTCAAAGCTTTAAGAAAGCTCTTCAATGTCTCATGACCCGCTTCGAAGGACTTTGGCAGCAACTCAACTCCTCCACGACTTGGAGCTAAGGGTCATGACTGCGATCGGCCAACCCCTCGACCCTCCCTCAAACCCAAATCGAAACCCCTAACCCCTAGTTGGTAGTTTGTGCCCCCACCTCCTTTCGATGCTGCACAAACCACGTCTGGACCGAAGGCATCCATTTCTTCCTGCAGAGTTGGGGTCCCGAGCATCGGGGCTGGCCTTGGGGTTTAAAGCTGAGGGTTTAGTCTTAAAAATTGTTGGGTCTTCGCAAAGCCAGGCGAAGAGGCTTGATTGTAGAAGACCAGACCAGTCTGCTATGAACTTGAAATCTTTAGATCCCGAGCCTAAACTCTAATTAAACCCTAAACCCCCCCCCAAAAAAAAAAAAAAATAATAAATAATAATAATAATACTAATAATAATAGCAAAGCCCCAAGCTCTACGTGTCCTTGATGTGGTCCAGATACTGCTGCACCGGGAAGTTCGGCGTCTCCGGATTTGGGATTCCGTGGCAGAAGTGCGCCTTCACTCGCAGCTTCGATTCTTGGCACTTCTCAGATGGCCTTCCTCGTCAAACAGCTATGGACAGGAAAGACAGTAACCTTTGGTTCATCGTACGCCGGTAGTCGTGGGAACAAGGATCAGAAATTCCTGGCGTTGTGCCCTGGAACCCCTTATCATGAACTCCTGTTGAAATAGATACCTTTCCACATTCCAAGGCGGAAAAGCATCCAAACCCCAAAGCCTTACCGGGGCTCTGATTCAGCAACGCCCCATCTGCCTGGTAGCCGGCGTTGGTTATCATGGCCGACTGTCTCGGGTTCAGCTGCTGCCCGAAGCCTTTCATCATCAGCCCGGGCATTTCAGTAGAGCCCCACAACCCTGAAACTGCAGGCAATAACGCAAGCCCTGGTCATGGAACGAAGACCAGGAAGAGTCCTGTACTTGTACCGGCAACAATCAGTTGTAAGCAAGGTTTTCATGATTTAAAACTACTACTGCTTACCACTGTATTGCATTATTCGGCAATGCTCGGTTACTCACTCTCAAGGGTTCATGTTATGATTATTAGACTGCTGTTGCATAAATTCGACTACTACCGTTCTATCTGCTACTACCATCAATTCCATGATGGCTATTACAAATACTATTGTTACGAGTTATTACTGGTCATACTGTTGTGTCTACTGTTCCTACGATGCCTACTATTACGAGCATTACTACTGTTACTACTGTGCTACGACTGTTACACCTACTACGATTATTGCCGCTGTTGCGGTTAATGCTATCATTATTACTGTTACTATTATGACTTTGCTGCTCTTGATTGTCTTACCATTAATACTAGTATTGCTACCATTGCTTGTATTTCTATAGTTACGATATTTGCGGTATGTAATATCAGTGCCATAATCATTGCTACTGCCGGTTACCCCTGTTACTACAATTATCACTATAACTCTAATGGCCATTATGGCTACTACTACCATCACGACTGCTACGATTACTAGTATGGTTGTCGTAACTACAACCCGCTCTTTCCATTAGTACTATGATTCATATTTCTATTGTTACCATTCTTGCTATGATTGTTGTTTTGGCCATCACTGATACAATTGCTGGCATTACTATTACTGCTGGTTATATCCTTACTTGTAGTTATTGCGGCAGTAGTCTTTTATCGTTATTGGCAGTAGCAGTTGCAGTCCCGGTAGCAGTAGCAGCAGGAGTCGTAGTAGCAGTAGCAGTAGCAGTGGTAGCAGTAGTAGCAGAAGTAGTAGAGTAGAGGAGAGTGGAGCAGAGCAGAGCAGTAGCAGCAGTAGCAGTAGTAGTAGAAGTAGCAGAGTAGAGTAGAGAAGAGTAGAGTAGACTAGACTAGACTAGAGCAGACTAGCGTAGACTAGGGTAGACTAGAGTAGCGTAGCGTAGGGTAGGGTAGAGTAGAGTAGAGAGAGTAGAGTAGAG